AATTTATCTCCAACTCCAAGTGACAAGGTCACATTGGAGCTTTTACTTCATAAAAGTACTAGAAAAAAAAATGCCTAAACGTCATTTCAAGATCGAAGGGCAAGTTATCCTAGTATCTCGAGAAGATGATGATGAATCAAAATCAGTACAAGAAGTTTTATCATGCCTTGCAAAAGGAAAATTTGAAGAATGTAATGGAAGAAGAGACAGAGTCTATCAAATCGAATCAAGTCTGGGACTTTGTTGATCTTCCATCTACTCGAAAAGCCATTGGAAACAAATGGATTCTCAAAATAAAGCGAAGAGCTGATAGGACTATAGAGAGGCATAAGACTCGCATGTTGGTAAAGGGTTATACTCAACATAAGGGTATAGAGGTTGAAGAGACCTTTTCAATAGTAGTGAGATTTATTTCAATGCACCTACTCTTAGCTCTTGTAGTATGTTTAGATTTAGAATTATATCAAATTGACGTGAATACTGCATTTCTCAATGGAGAATTGGATGAAGAAATTTACATGCATCAGCTAGTAGGTTTCATTAAAACAGGCCAAGAGAATAGAGTTCATAAATTGAATAAATCATTCTATGGCCTAAAGCAATCTTTTAGACAGTGATACTTAAGATTTGACAAAGCAGTTATCTCATACAATTTTGTCATGATAGACGAAGTCATTGTATTTATTTGAAAAGGCCCAATGAGAAATTTGTAATTTTATCTAATAAGTAGTATACTAAAACTATTAAGAAATGGTTGTCCTCAAATTTTGAAATGAAAAATATGGGTGAAGCAGATTACATATTTGGTATTAAAATTCATAGAGATTGTTTGAAATGGCTTCTTGCTCTGCCAGAAGAGCCATATATAAATAAAATTGTTGAACATTTTAAAATACAGAATTACAACCTCATTGAGACTTCTGTATCGAAAGGCGAAACTCCAAGTCTTTGTATGTGTCCAAAAACTATTGAAGAAAAAGAAGATCTGTCCAGAGTTCCATTTTCTAGTACGGTTGGGAGCTTGATATACGCTATGATGTGTACTCATTCTGACATTTGTTATGCCGTAGGTTTGGTCAACAGGTATCAATCTAATTTTGGAAGAGATCATTTGAAAGTTGTAAAGAGGATATTGACATACATGAAATTTACTGCTAATTGTTCATTAAGCTATCAGTGGAATGATTTGTGCTTATAAAGATACGCAAGTGCTTATTGGGATGGAGACCTAGATGAGCGCAAATCAATTTTAGGATATGCATTCTTAGTAACGGTGCCACCTCTTAAATTAGCAAGAAACAAACTTGCATTTTCTTGTCCACAATGGAAGCAAAATTCGTAGCACGTGCTTTAGCAGTATATGAAGCTGTTTGGTTAAGGAGATTTTTACGGTATCTAAGAGTCTTTACTGATGATGTGGGACCTATATTGTTTTATTATGATTGTCAGGCAACTATTGCATATACGAAGGATCCCAAGTATCATAGTAGAACTAAATACATTGATACAAAATATAATTTTGTAAGATATATCATAGGAAAGAAGAGAGTGAGTTTGCAGTATATTTCTATGCACCAAATGGTAGCTGATCCATTTACAAAACATATCCCTAGAAATATTTTTATGACTCATGTTAAGTCTCTGGGATTGCGTAAAATTTGAGTTATGTACTATGCAAACTTTTTTTCATATAAGTCCATTAATAAACAATGTTTTGAGTTCATATGTTAAGAGTAATATTTTGCTGTGATATTTTAGATTACTATTTAATATCTACATATAAAGTATGTCAAACAGGTTAAGATTGGTTCACTCACACTTGCAATCTTCTCAGATACTTTAAAGTGTGCTGAAATGAGACACGGTGATCATATTGTGTACATGATTAAGTCGTCTTGATGAGATATCAAAATGAGATTACAACAAGTAGTCGGTATGGATTTTTGCTATCCATAAGACTTGTTCTATAGCCAGATCGAATTTTCGATTGAGATTGCTTAAAGGAATAAATATAAGGAAAACATGTTAGATATCAAAGAATATTTAAATTATGTTCTGTACAGTATATTTTATTTGTAAGATTATACATAGGCCCTAAGAATGTGAAAAAATATTGTAGCATGTATTTCATACCACGTGTGCTTTAACGACTAATGAGAAATGAAAGAATTGATCCTTACTTCTTCATTGTGTGAGTCTCTGAAACACATAGGGCCTCAATTATACATCCTTATGACTTTTGACTGTTTCTCATATTTTTATTTCGGTGTTTGCTACTTTAGCATGTTGTCAACAACTATGGTTGATTCGGTTTGATGGAATATGTCTACGAAAATAGCTGACTTGAAATTAAGGGATTCAAGTAGGAAAAGAAGATTAATTTATCTAACACCTCAATTTGTATTCATTGACCGGATAATTGTGTTAACATTTTGAGTTTGCGATACAATTGTGAATACAATAAAGATTATAAAGTTGAGTATGATTGAGGGGTTAGAAATACTAGAACTGATATTACAAAATATGTATTGACTATAGTGAGATATACAGGTGTATAGTGTTGTATTCTCTTAAATTAACTCGTTGGTCATACGATCCATTTACTTGTATGAACTTGGAGATGTTGAGATAAATATATAATTGATACATCAGGTCAAGCCCATCATGTACGAGCGGGAGATGCCAGAAGAAAACGGGTTGTCCCTATTAGTTGACCAGACCCAAATTGCATGAAAAAAAGTGGAATGAGGAGTTGAGTTTTTGAATTTGAAAATTAATCTCCCCACCACCAATAAATTCCATGCAACTTCTAAACATAATAAAAAAATTCGGGTATGGAAAGGAGAAGGAAAATACATGAGTAGAAAGACTTGATTTTTGGAAATATAACATCTCAAATGGGGTTCTTGAAATTGTGAACATCAAACTCCTTTCTTGGAGAACGAATTTTTGACCAAAAAGTGGGTACAAGACGGTGTGTAAAGCAAGCAATTAAAAAATCAAGTAATTCAACCTCGTTTTGGAATTTTCAAGTGAGTTTTACAAGTTGAAATTCAATGAAAAGCATGCAAACACATTTTACACATAGTATCATATTGAAATTCTTCACGACTCGAATACATCGAAAAAATATTGGATCTCTGGACGACATAAGACCTTGGCTTTGATGGCACTTTATTTATAGTGGACATTAACAGGTACACTAGGCTAAATTTTTAAGAGAAATAAGGAATTGTGGTTACAAAATCAATGAAGTCTATTTAGAATCACTTTTAGGTAGAATTATACCAATTATCACTGGCGGACGGGGAGGGGGGGAGGGGGGAAGGGGCATGTAGGGTCAATTGACCCCCTAGTCTTAAGGTTTTTTTTAATAAATAAATTAGTAGGTCAAAAATCAAAATAGTCAAAACTCAAACAAATCCTTCCCTGCTTCAACCGTATCTCTCTCTCTCAACTCCCGTCTCTCGCTGTCTCCCACTCCCTGTCTCCCACCATTGAAGCACATTAGCACAACACAGAGCAGTAAGAGCTCACCCATAGCCACCGGCCACCGCTCCATCCCCGCCTCTGTTTCTGCCTGACCTGACTGCCTCCACCTGGAACGCTTCCGGCCTCCATGTGACTGCGGCAATAGCAACTGCCGACGCCAGTCACGCCATTGTCGGCGACCCATCACTACTGACTTGAAGGTTAGAAGCTTTACACTTACAAACTTATCACTTACTCAAATTTTTTCTTTGAATTCTTCTCCATAAGTGACAATAACCGTAACTGCTGCCTGCCTGCCTCTATGTGTCAGGTGTGGTTAGTTCCTATTTCTAAATTTGGATTTATTTACAGTTCAATTAATCAATTATGATTCATGTTCCTGCCCAATAAATGTAATTTAGGGATTTCTGATTTAGGGCTTTGATTTAGGAAATTGACCCTTTTCCAGTTTTCTGATTTAGGGATTTGTTACTTATTTATATGTAAATTGATTATTGATAATATTGATTTGGGAAGATTGAAATTTTGTCTGACTTTTGGTAGGTAGGAAATAGCATAAACTGATTTAGGCATTTCTAATCTTGTTGATTTTTCATTTTTGGTTGGTTTGTTTCAGTTATGGAAAAATACTTTAAACGTACATCTACGATTTCCTGTGATGAACAAAATATCGGTGAAAGGAATGTTCGAAAGAAAAGGGATGAAAACGATGTTGGGGATGTTGATGTTGAGATGTTGATGTTGCACAGCTTCCCTCTGATGCTGGATTGAGAGTTCCAATACAGAATTATGATGTTAATATTCGAGATGTGATTCGAAGAGCATATATGCAAAGAGGTCCTTGTCAGCCTCGTAATCATATATTTCCACCCACAAGAATAGGTAAAATAGACCGACGATTTTGTGTTTCGTGGTATAATGAGCATCCCACTTGGTTGGAATACAGTATAGCAAATGATGCAGTTTTTTGCTTTTATTGTTATCTTTTTGGTTTGAATGATGGTTCATTTGTTAAAGGCGGATTTTCAAATTGGAAAAAGAAAGAATATATAAGAAAACATGTTGGGGCTTCAAGTAGTGCACACAATCAAGCTCGGGTCAAATATGAATTGTTCAACAATCAAGAACAAAGTATTCGATCTTGTCTCGTTAAACAATCGCATCAAGCTCAAACAAATTATCGAATCCGATTAAATGCTTCAATTGATTGTGTTCGATTTCTTCTACGACAAGGGATGGCATTTTGTGGACATGATGAATCTGAAGATTCAAACAATCAAGGAAACTTTCTTGAACTGTTGCATTGGTTGTGTGATCATAATCCTAAGATTAAGGCCGTTGCTTTGACAAATGCACCTGAAAATTTGAAATTAACATCACCAAGAGTGTAAAAAGATATTGTAAGTGCTATTGCTTCTGAATGTCTACATGTGATTATCGAAAATATTCGTGATAGTTTCTTCTCAATTTTAGTTGATGAATCTCGAGATATTTCTATGAAAGAGCAAATGTCAGTTGTCATTCGTTATGTGAAGAATGGGTGTATATTGGAACATTTTATTGGTGTCATTCATGTTTTGAATACCACAGCTGCCTCACTTAAGGCTGCAATTGATCAGTTATTCTCAACGCATAGTTTAAGCATATCTAATTTGAGAGGCCAGGGATATGATGGAGCTAGTAACATGCGAGGTGAGTATAATGGCCTCAAAGCACTTATTTTGAAAGAAAATCCAAGTGCTTACTATATTCATTGCTTTGCTCATCAACTTCAATTAGCTCTTGTAGCCGTGGCACAGAAACATCCGAAGATTGAAACTTTCTTCACTATAGTACATAGATTGGTGAATATTGTTGGAGGATCAGCTAAACGGAGTGATCTTATTCGAGAGAATCAAAGATTGAAAATTCTTGAATCACTCAGTATTGGTGAAATATCAAGCGGACGAGATCTCAATCAAGAAATTACTTTTCAGCGTCCTGGGGATACACGTTGGGGCTCTCACTATAGTTGTTTAATTAACTTGATTACCATGTTTTCAACTATAGTCGAAGTCATTGAGATGATTGCTACTGATTCTACAAGTACCGGAACAAGAGGTGATGCATGCATTTTATTGGAATTGATGTTAAGATTTGAATTTGCATTTAATCTATATCTCATGAAAAAGATTTTAGGGATTTCAAACGAATTGTCAAAAGCATTACAAAGAAAAGATCAAGATATTGTCAATGCTATGAAATTGGTGCAAATATGTAAAACACAACTCCAAACCATGAGAGATGATGGATGGGATTCTTTTTTGGGAGTGATTTGTTCGTTTTGTGAAACTCACAAGATCAATGTTCCCGATATGGATGATATGTTCGTAACTGTAGGTCGTTCACGGCGTGAGACAGTGACAAATTTGCATCATTTTCGTGTGGAAATGTTTTTATGCCGTCATTGATATACAACTTCAAGAGTTGAATGATCGTTTTTCTGAAGCAAATAGTGACTTGCTTATTTGTGTTGCATGTTTATCTCCAAATAATTCATTTGCTGCTTTTGACAAGTTCAAATTGATTCGACTATGTCAGTCTTATCCGGTAGATTTTGACGCAGCAAATATCCTAGAACTTGATGATCAACTAGATACATATATTATTGAGATGCGCACTTCTAAAGACTTTGAAAAATTACAAGGCATTAGCGATCTTGCACAGAAGTTGGTTGTGAAGAATAAACATGAAGTGTATCCATTAGTCTACAAACTTGTGACACTAACCTTAGTTCTTCCCGTGGCTACTGCTACAGTCGAGAGAGCATTTTTTGCGATGACTTACGTCAAAAATCGTCTGCGCAATCGAATTGGAGATCAATGGTTGAATGATAGTTTGATTGCATATATTGAGAAAGATGTTTTTTATAAGATTGAAAATGATGTAATTATTGAACGTTATCAAAGTATGAGAACACGTAGAGAGCAATTGTAATAAGATATATCTTTTTTATCATTTTTTTTAAAGTTCGTTACTGACCCCCTAGTCTAAAATGTCCGCGTCCGCCCCTGCCAATTATTGTTGCTTCGCATTTCAGTGTGAAGGGGCAATGTCAACAGATAGGAGATAACTCGTGTTCTTTTGACAATGGATTTGTGAAATTTTATATATTTCATTGTCAAATTATGCAACAACAAGGCATCAAATATTATATACAAAAGAAAATTAATCATTTTTCTGAACTTTATCGTCTAATTATTGTATAACATCTCTATCCTACAATTAAGCAAACGAGGTCAACACAATTAACGTAACACGTGATCTAACATGACATCAATGACATGAATCAAGTATGCCCTTGTTTGAGCCCCATTCTTTTCAAAAAAATACATTTTTAAACAGTGTTTTGACATCATTTCAACATACATTTTCAATAAAATATTATTATACGTAAATTCAAAACTTTAACTTATTTTTTAACCACATATTTTCCATCAATACACTATTCAAAAATTCATTTTCTCCCCAAAAATGGGGCTCAAACAATTTCTTTTAGATAAATATCTGATTTTTAGTAAATTTTAATAAAAATTGATGAAATATATAATTGAAAGTATGCGTGTCTTTTGAAATATATGATTAAAATTAATTGTTGACTTTAATTTAAATTTTAATAAACTTTTCTAATCGTACCGAACACAGGCATATGAACTTTTTATACAAACGTAAAGATTAAACATTGATAGAAAGGTACTAAAAACTACAAATAAGTACTCATATGTTAGGCATAGTTTCTTAGTATTTATTCGGTAGAAGGGTAGTCGTAATTCCCTTTATTTCATATAATTTCGAGTTCAATATCAAAATGTGAAGTAATTAGCTAATTGGATTTCATTTGGGAGCAGCACCACGACGAGCAGTAAAACGAGCTTGGAAAAGTGTAGTCAACTTATCCTTGGGAGGCAGATTTTCCTTTATAATGTTACAGTTTAGGTACTCATCTATCCATCCGCCTAACTTTGGAAATTTCTCGTATGTCAACACTTGTACTCCTGCCAATTCTTGCACTATTATTAACCAATATGATATGAAATTGGCAACTATATCAACCATTCCAATAGTGTCTCCCCCAAAGAATTTCTTGCCCGAAAGTGTGCCCTCGAGAATTTTCAGAAGATCAGTAACTTCCCCCTTGGCCTTCTCTTGCTCCTCTCCCATGCTCCAACAAGCTTTCTTCATTGCAGGAAAACACTAAAACGTTCATAAATTAAAAATACTGTTAATTGTTGAATGATTCAAACACGTGACGACATCCATGGTATATTGTACTGGACATAACAGCATAAAAATATACCTTTTCATCCAAGAATTTAGTCCAGAAGCGCACCAGGGCTCTCTCGTAAGGATCTTTAGGCAAAATAGAAGGGCCTTCTTCCCACGTTTCATCAATGTATTCAAGAATTACCAGAGACTCACAAATTGGTTTGCCATTGTGGACTAACACGGGAATTTTCTTGTGAACTGGGTTGTACTTAAACAGCAAAGGGGACTTATTGTTATGTATATCTTCCTCTATGAATTCATATTCAACGCCCTTGAGTTTCAAAGCAACCTCGATTCTGAAGCTAAATGAGCTTCCCCAAGCACCAAAAAGCTTTACTTCTGCCATTTTACTCTCCTTTGATTTTCCCTCTATACTGTGTTGTATATTTATTCTATAGGCTCGAGCCCTTATTATAGAAGAAGCCTAACTTGTCCGCAAAGAATCAATGAATAAATCAATATATTAAATAAATATTTATAATTTCCAAGTAGACCTCTTCAGAGCGGACGCAAGGGATGATCCAGCAATCTTTGTTTTTTCTACAATTGACTCGACTAAAGTCTTATTATATCTCAACAATCTTTGTTTAAAATTATGCTTAAAAAGAAGTAAAATTACCTTTTTAAGCAACTTTTTAGTTTAAAAGGAATGTAAATTTTAATAAATAGCTTACTCTTACTTATTTTTGGCTTGATAAAAAAACTATTTCAAAACTGACCCATTTACTTATAAGTAAATATTTTAAGTTTAGCCAAACTTGCCCCAAGCTTTAAAAACATGTTATAGAAAAAGAAAAGTAATTTGTAAAAAAAGTCCAAATATATTTGGCAGAAAAAATTTAAATTAGTTTTTAAGTCTTTCCAAAAATGGTTAATCAACATTGTCTTTCTATTCTCTTTAATCATCATACACCCCCTTCCCTCAATCATCTGTCTCAACTCAAGTTAACTGAAGAGTTGATTTATCAGTTGAAAAACAATTGCCAAGAGCATGCTTTAATGAGGACTCTAGTATTGCTCGACTTACTTTCACACAACACGTGTAGTAGACTATATAGAATTGATTTCCAACCTTCTGTGGATAAGATTAAAACATCTCACCGCTAACGTGGCAACCCACGTCAGCAGTGAGAAGTTTTAATCCTATCCATTATGGACAGGAAATCAGGATTGTTGGACTATTAATGTAGTGCGTACATTTGTTTCTATAGTAAACTACTTAATTACATGAATGAATAGTACTTGTAGGTCTCTCAAAATACGTGAATAAAAAGTAGCTTGAGTTAAGGATGGAGCCAAGATTGAACTAAATTAATTTTGAGCTGTGTTGATAGGTAAAAAAATATCTGCATATTTTTTTTTTCCATATAAAAATTTATTTAGAAGGAGAAAAATCAAATGGGCTTGGTCTGGCCTGAGCTATAGCCAAGACCGGCCCACCCCTAAATCCGACCTTGGCTTGAGCGTTCATAAATTGGATATCCTTGGAGTGACTTGCGCTATACGTTTTTATTAGTTTTCATGATATTAAGATCTGAACGTGTCTTAAAATATTAACATTGTACGACTCAAATTCTCAATTTGTGGGTTATTGTTTTAATACTAAGCGAATGTTTATTGAAATCATGAATTATGTATCAGAGAGTGTAACATGCAAATATGGTGGAGGATCAAATGGCATAGACACTCAGAACTGGTATGGTTAAGACATTTGGCATTGCAGAACTTAAAAAGCAAATCAATATGTGTTTGAGTAACAGCTACAAGACTTTTCCTGGCTTTCTTTGTTTCATGCTTAACATCAGACCAAGCAGAACCATATTGAGCATTCTTATGATGAAATCAATTAAAATTAATATTTCATAACTATTAATACAAAATCTCAAGTGCCGAATCACAGACCTCCAAGATTACATAGATATTGCTTCTAATCTAAATCAACAGGCATCAAGGCCTCAACAATTGTCTCGTCTGTATCATCACAGAGGCACTGAACAAACCAAATCCTCACCAACCAGATGCAATTGGAGTTACTTCAATGGACCAGAAGAACCAGGTGCGGACCCACATGGGTCATGAGGGTGAAATGACCAAAATTTTTCTGCCATTTTTTGTCAAAAAAATAGGTATTTTGATCTCTTTACGATCTATTTTGATACACTCATTATGAATGTCGAATGAAGTAGAAATATTATATTTTTAAAACCATTTTGAAGTGTTCATGGCCTAATTTTTCCCTTATTAATGGCCTACGAAATGTTCAACCATAGCAAAAGATACGACACGTCAAAGTAAACTGTTCCAAACTAGTATTTCGAGAATATGCTAAATTCAAAATTCATTGGCAATCATATGCTATTAGAATCTACAAATTGCCTATGTCATGTAGAAGCTCGTTTCGAGAACTATATCGTACTTATATTTAATAGTCCAAACGAATATCAAAAATATTAAATATGCGTCAAACGTATGTTTCAAAAGAGACGTCTAACTTGTCTTTTTAAAAAAAAAAAAAACAATTCAATTATTTCTTTACTTTTATTATTTTTGCAAGATAAATTTCTCAATATAATTTACATCATTTTATTAGGAATTTTTACATGAAATAGGATGTCAAAAATTTTAGAATCACTACGGATTAAATGTAATATGATTAATTACTTTCGAATTACATTTTCTTTAAATTTGAATTTCAATTCCTTCCCGAATTAAATTTAGATTTTATTTCAATTCGTTTACTTTCTATATTCAATTTCTTTTACTTGTTATTGCTCAGCATTTGTCAACAAAATGGTAAACAAAATTATATAAGTAGCAAAATTCATTTAATAATATTACTAAAGATATAATTATACAACATTTTTAAAATATCAAAAGACGTATTAACTTATTTTCATTAATATTATGTTTTTATAAATATATATTTTAATTTTCGACCGCATAGCACAAAAAGTCTGGATATGCCCCTGTGAAGAACCCAACATCACATCAATCATCGTATTCACACAAAGGAATCACTTAGACTCTTTTCACTTAGAAAAACAGTTCAACCACCCACAATTTGAAGATGAAAGAAGGAGAAGATGAATCAAAAGAATATTCCAGACAACAAGTACATATACAGAAGAATGACCGAATTAGGGCTTCAGGAAAGTACATCAATTATACTCAAAACACTAATCGTTGATCTATGATGAATCCAACAGTCCAGAGTAACAGACACTCTCCATTCAAGTAGCAACTAAAGTCGCGTTTTGAACGTGCGAATTATCTGGCTGATTGGGTTTGGGTTGTGGGCTATCTCAATGAAATTAGGGGTACTTTTATATTTTTGAATTGTTTTGAAAAAAACATTATAAATTTGGATTAAATGGTAATTACTTAAAATTGAACGTAAAATATACGCTCAAAACCTAAACTCACGACAATCCTCATTAATCAGCCTCCAATATGCAAAAATCAAAGGAAAATTGAAAGGAAAAAGAGGAAATCTTCCACAAATATATAAACAAAGTTTGTTCATTCTTTAAATCGAGGAAACCATCCACAAAAACATTAAAAAATCTGAAAAAAAAGTCGAGGAGATCTTCCACAAAAACACAAACAAAATTACAGGTATTTCTCTGTTTTGGATTCCATGATTATAGTTCATTATCCATCTCGTTTTTGTTTGAATTAACATTTATGAAAATAAAATTGTTGAAGTTGAGTGGATTGTGTATGAAAAATTAGTTTTGAATCAATTACATTGATGCTTGCAAGGTGTTTGACAAAAAGATAATGTAAAAAAGTGGTATTCAATCACTTTTTTCAGAAAAAGGTCACAGCATTTCTTTTAAGCAATTAGTTAGGTATGCACGTGTGAGTTTTTGGAAATTTGAACGTGCATATTCAAGCCCTATTTTCTAGTAATACACATGAGAAAGAAAACTTTAAACCAATTACATTGATTCTTGTAATGTGTTTGCTCAAAAAAGAAGGTGAAAAAGTGGCATTCTGTCACTTTTCTCAAAAAAAGTCACAGCATCTCTCTTGAGCAATTAGCTAGATATGCATGTGTGAGTTTTTGAAAATTTGAATATATATATTCAAGCCATATTTTTTGGTAATACACCTGAGAAAGAAAATTTTGAACCAATTGCATTGATGCTTGTAATGTGTTTGCTCATAGGAAAAAGTGAGAAAGTGGAATTCTGTCACTTTTCTTAGAGAAAGTGACATTTTGTGACCTTTCTCCAAAACAGTCATCATTTATCGTTGAAGCAATTAATTGGATGCATGCATTTGCTTTTTTGAAAGTTTGAATATACTGATTCATACCTTGTTTTTTGGTAATATATATGAAAAAGAAAACTTTGAATCGACTATATGGATGCTTGCAAGATGTTTGATCATGAAGAGTGACATTCTATCACATTTCTCAAAAAAGTGACATTGTGTCACTTTTTCAACAAAAAAGTGACATTCGTTACCTTTCTACAAGGACATTCACCCTTTTATCATTGGAACAATTAACCGGATGCATACGTGTGCTTTTTTGAAAGTTTAAACATATCAATTCATACCCTATTATCTGAGAATACATATTCAAATTGAAAACTTTGAATCAATTACATGGATGCATGCACATGGAGAGGGTGACATTCTGTCACTTTTCTTAAAAAAAAAAGTGACATTGTATCACTTTTTTATGAAAAAGTGACATTTCTCCAAAACAGTCACACTTTATCATTGGAGCAATTAATCGAATGTATACGTGTGCTTTTCTGAAAGTTTGAACGTACCAATTCATACCCTGTTTTCTGGTACTACATATGAGAAAAAAAACTTTGAATCCACTACATGGATGCGTGTAATGTGTTTGCTTATGGAGAGTGTGACATTCTATCACTTTTTCTCAAAAAAGTGACACTGTGTCACTTTTCTCCGAAAAAGTGGCATTCTGTCACTTTTTTCCAAAATAGTCACGCTTTATCATATGAAAAAGAAAACTTCGAATCAAGTACATTGATACATGCATGGTGTTTGATGAATGAGAAAGTGAAAATTTGACATGCTGTCACTTTTTTGAGAAAAAGTTACCGCATCACTTTTGACTAAATAAGTTATTGCATTCCTTTACATTTTTGGAATTATTAAGATACATATTCAAGCCTGTTTTCTAGTAATAAACATGAAAAAAGAAAACTTCGAATCAAGTACATTGATGCATGCATGGTGTTTGATGAAGGAGAAAGTGAAAATTTAACATGTTGTCACTTTTTTCAAAAAAAGTTACAGCATCACTTTTGGCCAAATAAGTTACTGCATTTCTGTGCATTTTTGGAATTATTAAGATAAATATTCAAGCCCTATTTTCTAGTAATAAACATGAAAAGAGAAAATT